TGATAATGATAATGATAGTGATATATGATTAGCTGTAGGAGTGGGATCACACCAAAGCCCCCCATAATGGAGCCTCAGATGATAGATGGGTCTGGAGCATTGGTGGAATAACAATTGCCAGTTGATAAACTTACTCCATGGTCACTTTATCCACCAGAAATTCCATGGCTTTCCTGGAATTGTACCCAAGGCTTTGTGGTGATATTTAGCTGACTAACCACAACTTACATAATTTTTTGTTTTGAATTGACTCTGTGTTTATATTTATTTATTTATTTTGTCTCTATAGATCATTGTTACATGATATAGCACAAGTCAGTATATAGATATAACTGTAAGGAATTGCCATCATTATTCATGACATGTCACTGAGAGACCAAGGAATAGCTAAGTAAGTTGTGAGAATGTGAACTGAATTGGACTGGCTCAGGATATGATCTGATGGTGCTTTTTGTGACTGTTATGATGAACAATGATTGTACAGGGAACAAATCATCATAGAAAAAAGTCATTAATTGTTTTGTTGTTTGCAGATAGAATTATGTAATAGTCCTGTGATAGAAGGAAAAGAAGCGGTTTTGGAGCCCCAGGACAGGTGAGTATAGTAGTTTGCCCTTATTATGTGAGGATGATATCCTTCTTTTGGCATTATTTCTATCATATGGGTCAATGGACAGAATGTTTTTTGACTCCGTTTCCACAGTCTTTCTATTTTGATTTCTTGCCAGCTCTTTCTCTCTTCCCAGTGCCTTCTGGTACTTGATTGAACCATCTTATTCTGGGTCATCATGCAAGTCTCTTTCCTTTGTATTTTAGTTATAGTGCCTGTTTCTGTAAACTTGTTCTGTTCATTCTTTTGAACTTCAGTACAGAATCCTGCTCTCATGCTTTGTAACACACCTTAATATTTGTTTGTCTTTTGTTGTGAAATAATGTATTTAAGTTCTTAATTTTGTGTTTAGTAAATGTGAGATTTGTAATGTTTCAGTTATGTTTCAAAACAACTGTCACTTGCAATGTTCAGTTAAGTTAACTGCATAAGGTAAAGTTCTCTGAGGGCAAGTAGTAGTTATTCAGTCATCAGAGAATTCAGTGCTGTTATGCAACATGGAGCTTTGTTGCCATTTTCACAAATGTCCACTATTGAATTCTCTTTGGACATAGTTCAGTTTGGTTCACACCGTAAGAATTTATATGTCCAAGATATACCTAAGTTTTATCCTGCCATCCTTGTCTTGGCTTTTTTGCAGCCGTTTTCACGCAAGACGCATGAGCAAAAGTCTTTCATTACATTTGTGTGAAGGCAAAAAGGTGAAGAAAAAACACAAGTTGATCCCTCTCACTGTCAAAAGTATATATTTTTGTGAGGAATATTTTGTGATAAGTAGCTCTGTCATCGATAACTGAAGGGACCTTGTGATATGTCACAGGGTGAAGCAATCAGTCAGTGACTATGATGATGGTAGTATGGGCACTGATCTGAGCTGTGCCTTTTCAAACAAGAAGATGACTTGAGTGGTACTTTAAACAGGTCTTCGAAGTCGATAAACAATAAGAAGTTCCGCGCAGAAAACAGATTAAAATGTGACGTGTGCAACAAGCTGTTTACTAGAAAATATCACTTAGAAATTCACCGTCATGTTCACACGGGTGAGAAGACGTTTATCTGTGATGTGTGTAACAAAGGTTTCTCCCGGAATGAGTACATAACTCTGCACATGAGGACGCACAGTGGTGAGAAGCCTTACACATGTGTGGTGTGTAACGCAGGTTTCGTAACGCAGGTTTCTCTCGTAATTATGTTTTGGCGAAAAATATTCACACTCACAGGATAAGGAGTAAGCGGTCACATGTGGACTATGCCAAGCCTTCACTTGGAAGAGGGCTTTGTTGCGACACAAACGTATTCACAATGGAGGGAGACACAAGGGGCGTGACCACCATGTTTGAAATTTTGTGGGATGAACGTTTGTTAGTTCCAGTATGCTGTTAGAAGGAACACTTGATTTAAAAATGAAAAATACTGAGAAAGCCTTGGATACAACCATGTTTCAGTAAATTAATATGTAATGGGAATCTAACTGAAGGAGAAACTGTTCACAGAACCAAGTTATTTAGTTCTGTGGAGTTTTTATACCGCTTTTAAGTTCAATATTTTAAATTTGAATGAAGTATATTAAGGAATGTTGTTTGACTTCAATAATCATGTAACATAGGTCTTGTAGTTTGATAAGAAACTGTTGGGCTATGTTTTATGATGATTACCTGTTGTATAATGATCTTCAAGTCTGTTTGCCAGTGATTTTAGAATTAAGACTTGGCAATATACTCAGGATGATAGGCATTAATACCTGCTCAGATTTTTGTGGAAATATTTTTTAGAAATTTTTGGAACACACCTACAATGTATGTTTGTGAGAGACATCCATGCAGCCTACTTCTAGAATGATTCTAATGTTAACCCCACTTACTTACTTACTCATGGAGCTGAGCCCTTCTGGAGGAGCCACCAATTCTACAGCTACTCAAGAATTTCCCAACATTTTATGGAACTCGAAGGTTCATTACCGTGTTCACAAGAGCCCTCCAATGGTCCCTATCCTGAGCGAGATCAATCCAATTCATACCATGCCAGCCTATCTCTCTAAGATCCATTTTAATATTGTCCACCCACATACGCCTTGGTCTTCCCTGTGGTCTCTTTCCTTCTGGCTTTCACACCAATATCCTATACGCATTCCTTGTCTCCCCCATTTGTGCTACATGACCAACCCCACTACCACAAATTATTCTTGGTCTCTTTCCTTCTGGCTTTCACACCAATATCCTATACGCATTCCTTGTCTCCCCCATTTGTGCTACATGACCAACCCCACTACCACAAAATATTCTTGGTTTATTTTCTTTTATTTCATTACTTTTATGGCTATTTTCTAAGAGGTTTCAACCACGTCAACTGTGTGAAGTTTTTATTCCATATACAAATATTTCACACACTTAATTGCTGCATTCATATTGGGACTAAAATTACTGGCACCATCGAAGAAAACGACAGTGCTGGAAATTGGCAGTGCCATTGGGCTTGTAGGACTGTACTTGTCTAATGTTAGGATGAAATATCAAACATATGCATGTAGTGCTTGTTCATTTTAAAATACAGCGTGATCACATTTTATGCTCGTGATGCGCTTCAGAAGATCTCGCATAATTGAAAACTTGCATAATTCCAGACGACCTCTCTTGTAGGACTAAGTGTATTGCCGATTGGGGGGCGGGGGTTGCATTATTTTGAACTTTGTGCATAAAGTGAGACATTATAAATATTTTTTTATGTCGCATCATTTCAAATTCGCATAAAATGCGACCGCACTATACTCATTTCAGAAGAAATGTAATTGTAAGTATGGGTGATAATATCAGATTACATGAAGTTTTATGGCTTTGCCTCTATGCCTGCAAGAATATAAAAGAATAAACATGTGTGCCAGTAGCACAGTTGATTTATTGGCCATGCATCACACTATTGTGACAACATACATTGATGGGCCAACTGACCTTGACACATTTTTTTCGGTATAAATTAGCACGGTGGTTGAGGCACTATGCTACAAGCCAGAGGGTCACGGGTTCAATTCCTGGTGAGGTCACTGGATTTTTCAGATGATCTAACGATTCCAACTGCACTATGGCCCTAGAGTGGATTCAACATCTAACAGATATGAGTCCCAGAAATCTTCCTTGGCGTAAAGGGTGGCCAGGGCACAAGGCTGACAACTTCACAGCCACCTGTGAGCCGATTAGCTAGAAATTGTGGGTGCCTCGACGTCTGACAACACTATGTGCCTCCACAGCCGGTTACAGGGATACCTTTTACAGAAATGTAGTATGTTATGAATGATAACTCACATGCAATTACAGAAAGAGAATGAAGATTTGTTAGAGACATCAATCACATTCATAATGAAATTAATATAATTCAAATCTAGAATTTTTCATGTGTTTTTAATGTACTAATACCTTTAGAATTCAGTCTAAGGTACCAGTGTTTCCCGACCTTGCCATATTTTATGATTTGGGGAAGAATTGTTTTGGTATTGAATGAAGCAGAATTTTGATTCATTGTCTTGCATTTTTGAGATTAAATCATGTTGGATGAGCATATTTTTATCCCTTTAATAGATTAGGTTCATGTTCCAAAGCCATATGAAAGTGACATTCCGAGTATATAAAATGCAATTAGGACTGGTACCAAAACCTTCCGCCACCCCTCCCGTAAGTTAAAAATATAGCATTTGACGAAAGTGACGTTAATGATACAGTGTTCATAGACATCGTGAGGAAACCCGTTATTGATAGTTATTGAAGAATTATGTTATATGTGATTTATATATTCAGAATACAGTCACAGAGAGCGACGTTATGAACAAAGGATGAGCATAAATTAAAGTGCATTTTATAAAATTATAAAATGTAAAACAAGGAAGGTGTGTTAAAATCTGCCGCCACCATATTCGTATATCATGAGGTTCGTTTGCCCCTGTTGTCTAGCCGGTGCTCAGTGTGTCATTGGTTACGATTTGTATTCAAAGGTGTACTAGGCAAAAGGGTGATAGCATAAGGATGGTTTGAAAGCTGTATGTGGCCCAATGACATACGGATTTCTAAATAATAATTTATCCTGTCGTGCATAACTTTGTCCACACAACGGGGATCAAATTCGTCGTGATCTGTGGTATCCAGTAGGCGCTGGTTAAATACGTAACATATTTTAGAGGGTGTTGACTTTCTTGACTTTTGCATTATCGAATAATCTAACGCTAGAAATGTTTAATCGTACAAGACATGAATATTTCCACATTTTAAATCCTTTGTTTAAGTATAATTCTTTAACTAACTGGTAGTGATTCTGAGGATTTTTAAAGACAAATAATAAATTCTATTCAGTACAGAAAAACGATAGATTTTGAGGGAGTTACGTATTATTTGCCAGAGGGTATGAGATTTTACGTTTTGGGTATATGTACGGAAATTTATGTATCTTAGTAAGACCCAAAATATTGGTGCCATCTGCAGAAAGAAAAATCCTGAAAGGAAATGTCGTCATCGTCATTTCAGCGTATTTTTTTTTTGTGGGTTTTACCTGTATTGAGTAATTCATGTTACCGGTATTTTATGTGTAGCAGTGTAAGACGTGAAAAATGGATATGAATGCAGAGGTTAATTGAATATCTTTAAAGGTTTCTGTTATCTGGCTTGAGGAAGGAGTTCTGTGTTCGATCGGAATCCGGAAATTCCAGGTCTTCGTAATTCATATTTTTCGTTCCCTGCCTTTTAATCGAAATGTTTTATATATACATGACAATCGAACTTTTAGCTGCGCAGCCGGTAGCAACGTGTGGATGTAAAATGTTCTTTACCTTATTCGTAAGAACCACCACAGTACTCTGTCCTTTGCCAGAAGAATATTAGCATTATTAGCTCCCCATTTCATACAAGTATGCTTTCATGTGCCAGCACCAAAACGCATGACATAATCTCAAATATTTTGGAACGAAATTGCACTCATGAAGAAACTCGAAGCCTTACAAAATTTAGGGAATGCTTACTAACATTTGGTTGAGAATATTTTGTTTTGCCGTCTGTTGCTTAAAAATGTAAACGTTAAAATATACGAACGGTAATTATGTTCTTTACTTGCCAAAGGTGTGAAACTTGATCTCTTACATTTCTTTTTGTCACCTACTGCTTCACATTAATTAACGATCCTTACCCTTTATGGGCCGGATTTTGAAAATGTCTGTAAACAGCCAACTTAAAAATAACTAATGGAAGGACACAGACTAAGGGTGTTTAGAGAGTAGGGTAGTGAGGAGAATATTGGAACAAGAGGAGGATGAAGTAATAAGGGGATGAAGAAAACTGCATATTGAGCTTCATAATTTTTAATTTCATCAGATATTAAGATGGTCAAATCAATGAGGATGAGAGGGGTAGGGCATGTATCACATATAGAAGAGAACAGAAGTCATACAAAGCTGGAAAATTAGAAATAAGGGGACCACTTTGAAGACCTAGGCATAGAAGAGAGGATTATATTCATTTGGATCTTAAACAATCAGGATTGGAGGATGTGGACTTGATTTATCAGGCTCAGGGTAGGGATCAGTGGTAGGACGTTGTGAACATGATTACAATCTTTTGTGTTCGATGGATTTCCTGGAATTTCTTGAGTAGCTGAGTGACTATTAGCTTCTCATGATGAGGGACATAGAATTAATTATTTCATGAAGATTGATTTTAATATTATCCTATCATCTGTATAGTCTTCCAAGTGGGAGTTTGCTATCACATTTCTTAATCATAATCTGCTGTGCATTTCTTGTTTGTGATGTGCAACCTCATCCTTTTTTATTTTGTCATGCCATTAATATTTTTGAGGAATTAAAAATTATGAAACAGTTCTATCCATCTTCCACCCTCAACCTATTTCCCTAAAATCCATTTTACCAATTATCTCTGTGGTGGCAGAACCCAAAGTTCAGCATCTACAATTGGACACAATCCCAAGGCAGTTCTATCCACCTCCCATCCTCATACCTGTTTACCTAAGACGCATCTTACTAATTACATAACTAACTCTGGGGTTTTTCCACCAAAATTTTGTATGCATTCTATGTCTCCCCATCCTAGGTTTTATTATCCTATTAACACTAGGTGACTGGATAACAATATTATATTTAAGCATCCTGTTACATTCTACTCAATATATGATACAAACTTCGTCTTAAGTGCAACAATTTATTGTAGTTCTTTCATCATCCTTTCTTCTACACTACATGTTTTGGCTGTAAATGGCCATCATCAGGTGTATACTCTCACGTAGCTGCTACACTGCACGTAGTTTAAAATTTAGAAAACACCAATCTGACAGATATCAGCAGGTAGGATTCTGATATATCGAAACCTGTTAACAACGGAGAAGTGAACAATTGGGAAGACTGGTGTTTTTTAAATTTTAAACTGTGTGCAGTGTAGCAGCTACATGAGAGTATACACCTGATGATGGCCATTTACACCTGAAACATGTAGTGTAGAAGAAAGGAAGACAAAAGAACTACAATAAATTGTTGCACTTAAGACGGAGTTTGTGTCATATATTGATTGGCATAAATCATGAAGTTACTCATTATGTAATATACTAAATTGTTTGCTCATGTCATCCTTAGGGTAAAATATTTTCCTGAGCACTTATTTTGCTAAAAAAATTGTATCATTATCTTGTTATAAGTTACTCTCAACGAATGTCATGTGGGTCTGGTCACAGTAAGTCGACGCTGTTCTTCTGACACAGTTCGTTAAAGGACATTAGAATATCTATAAAAGGAAGAAAAAAATTGGAATACCTCTGAAACAATGTAAGATCATGGGTTGAAATATCCAGAAGTGGTTTCATTTGCCTGATGCTGAAAAAGATGGATCATCGTGGATGTGATGCTGTGTACTTTGTCAGAAAATTGGAAATGTTCTGGAAGTTCACAGTAGAAGACATGTACCCAGTAGTTGGAGCAGCAGGTACCTCCAAAACATTGGTAACTGTCAATGAATCACATCCAAGAAGACAGTAACCGTAACATCCATTGTCGTGAGAACCTCAGATTTCAAAATGTGGCTGATATTTTTCAGTAAATTTTTGTCTTTTGAGTTTGTGAATGAAACCTTGTGGGAAGAATCACTAAGTCTGAAAAGGCTCCCAGTTGGCACTCGTATTTTTAACTGCCTGTGTTTTGTTGTGACTACTACTATTTGAGCTGTGTATTTTGAAGGAACTAACACTTCAGTATTCACCGAGCCTCTGGTCACAGCGGTTTCAAGATTCTGCAGCTGTAATAGACAATCACATCAAAGTCATCACCACAGGTTGTTATTCATGTTTATTATGGGTGTTCGAGTAATTGCAAGATTTACAATATTTATTTTTCTCTCTTGAGTAATTTTCTGCCAGATACTCTAAATCTTAAAATAAGCACATTAACTGAAATAGTAGCATGGTCACAAATTGTAGTTAAACAAGAGAACACTAGTTACAACTATAGACTGACTTAATCCTTTCAAGCACAGTAGTGTCACGTCTCTTTATTTAACATTAAATAACTCAACATTTTAGCCATAGATTGTATTTTTATATGTTCTGTATAATTCTCAGAATGGTGATGATATCCACAGGGAATATTAACTGATTTGTCTTCATACTGGCAACAGTTTTCTATGAGATGGGGACTAAATATGTAAACATTTACTTGAATTTCAGACTTCAAAAGGGTAATCTGGTGGTTGCATTTGTGCTAATAATGAAAGTATGGGACACATTTTAATGTTGTTGTAAGTGAATAAAACAGAATGTTTCTGTTTCCTTATGCAAATATTTTATTATAATGATATAATAGCACTGAAATTTCAAGTAATGGCAGTGTTTCCATTTATGGCACATAGTTATCATTTCTCCGGTAATTTATTACATACTGAGCTCATTAACCCCTCAAGCATGTGTGACACACCATATGCATCCACTCAGTTACATGCATCTAGCGTGAATTTAAGCGGGTGTATTTAAATTCCTCCCGGTGCTTTATTTTCGCAAGCATTGAAGGTTTTGTGCAGACATTTACCTAAATATTTTTAAATCTAAATGTACTTCAATCGGTTTTTCCCTTTAAAAGTAGTCTCAAGAAAAAAAGGTAATAAATTATGCTGGATTACTAAAGGTATAAAAGTTTCTAGACAGAAGCTTCAGTTGCTGCGTTTGTTAAAAAGAAAGCTGATTTTATCTGCTTCTGCATTAAATTATATAAAAAATACCAGAGTACCTATAAAAAGATCTTATTCACTGCTCGAAAACGTGCAAATGACCGTATTATTGCAAATTCTAGTAATCGTACAAAGGCCTTATGGAATATAATATAGAAAGAAACAGGAAAAGGCTGTATTTCAAATCTGACTATTGCGTTAGAAATTGGTTCAGTGTTAGTTACAAACCCCCAGCTTCTTTCTTATCATTTCAATGATCATTTTGTAGAGATTGTTGATAGGATGTGTACCCATACAAAGGATATTAGACAGGTGCGTTTCCCTGCATACCTCGGAATGCTAATACGATGTTTGTGGCTCCTATTACCGAA